TTCTTCTAGAACACAGCCTCACAGCCCAAAAAACCCACAAAAACCTGTACACAGATGTCTTATTCAGATCCTCCAAAGCCCAATTCCTTTCAGTACATCTTTGAGGGGAAGCGCCAAAAAGTTGTCAGCAGTGCCATTTTCCCACTCAAGCATTCGAAAAGGTCAGAAGCAAAAACGGAGGAGCTCTGGTGCTACAACAAACGACAGTCCCCACAATTCCATTGCTTTGAACATTGGCAGTTAAAAGTGGTGTCAAACCAGGTTCTTTCTGCAGTGCGGATGCAGCTTTACTCACCTGGGCCAGGTGACCACGGAGAAGGGAAGTTGTGGTCCTGAGAAATGCACCTTTTGTGCAGCGCTAATGCTAAGAGAGCCAGCCAGGCCTAGTGGTTTGAACAGGGTGACCAGACATCCTCATTTTCCAGGACATGCCCTACACTTCCGCCTTCTGGTGCCCTCCATTTTGAGCATGACTAAGCAGGATGAATTTACATTTATACGAGTGTTTATAGCTTTTACTGTCATGCCTAATTTTTCTTGAATGTCCTACATTTTGCAGTGCCTTGTCCTCCTTTGTGTCCTCCTTTGTGGTTATGACTTCTGGTCACCCTGAATCTATTCCATGGTTGAACAGCTCTTATAATATAAACAGCTTCTCCCAATGGTAAAGTATAATTTCTTTTCTGTAAACTCTTAACCCTCATTTTACCAGATGTGACACCTACATCTACACTGGATGCATCTACACTGTAGAAATAACACTTTTGATACCATTCCATCTTATGGAATCCTGGGATTTGTAGTTTTACAAGGTCTTTAGCCTTCTCTGCCAGAATGCTGGTACCTCATAAAACTACAGAACCCAAGATTCTGTAGGATGGAGCTATGGCAGTTAAAGTGTAAAACTGCATTTTTTTCTAACGTATATGTACCCTTTAGATCTCAGGAGCGACACTTTGTTGAATTGTAAAGACCTATATATACAGTATCATGAAGCCAGTGAGGTGCAGTGATTTGAGTATGACCATGACTGGGAGACTAGGGTTCAAATCCCATTCAGACACAGAAACCTATGGGATGACCATGGGGAGTTACACTCTCTCAGCCTCAGAGGAATGTTGTTGTGTGCCTTCAAGTCGTTTCCCGCTTATCATGGGGTTTTCTTGTTAAGTTTCTTCAGAGGGGTTTGCTATTGCTATCCCAAGGCTGAATAAATCTTAGCAAGAAAACCTTATGACAGGTTCAAAAGACATCAAAAATTGACCTTAAAGCATAACAAAAGCATCTTATTAAGGTATTACCTCAAGCTTTTTATACAACATCCCCAGTTTCAATGACTAGGGCTGTGTATATGTTGTTTAAATGAACCAAAAACAGCTTGGACAAAAATGTCCCATCAGATCAACTGCGTTTTGCCAGTGCAGTACTTTTGTGTCCCAAACAATGTATACTGCAATAGAGAAGAAAGCCCCATGCTATTCTCAAAATGCAAGAGCCAGCATAGTGTAGTGGTTTGAGTGTTGGACTATGACTCTGGAGAACTCGGTTTGAATCCTGGCTCAGCCATGTAAATTCACTGGGTAACCTTGGGCAAGTCACACTGTCTCAGCTCAGAGGATGGCAATGGCAAACCTCCTCTGAAGAAACTTGCCAAGAAAACCCCATAAGTTTGCCTTAGGGTCAAAAACACAACAACATTCTCAAAGCGAGAGAGCAAAGTCACTCATCTTGTCCCAGGACTATGGTCCAAAGGACACTACCGAAATATTCCAGTTTGAGACCACTTCAACTGCCTTGGCTCAATGTGAGGGAACTGTGGGAACTAATTTTGTGAGACTTTTAGCCTTCCCTGTCAGAGCGCACTGGTTCCACAATAAACTACAATGCGCAGGATACCCTAGCAATAAGTCAGGACAGTTAAAGTGGTCTCAAACTGGATTATTTCTGCGGTGTGTTTTGGACCTATGTGGAGACACCAATGCCACAAGAGGAAGAGATGAAAGGATCTAGTGCAGACATGTCACTGGAGATCAGCCAGAGATGTAATTCAGACACAACCAGGCCCAAAGATAGGAACCAGCAAATAAACAGTGCAAGAACACTGTTATGTTTTTATAAAAATGGTTGCCTTACACTGACCAAAGGATGATTTTGCTGTCTATGTGCTTTGTCTTCAGTCACTCTGGAGTGCAGCTGATTCCCACATGCATGTTTTGTCTCAGCTAAGGAGCTGAATATGTTAATGGTAATATATTCTGAAATAGGAGCAACCTGGCCTGTGTTACATCTAAATTTGGATTAAGGGAAGATAGCATAAACAGACCATCACAATAACAAATCAGTTCTGCTTTAAGTGATCATTACTGTAAACCTCTACCATTTGACAAGCTGCATGGTAGTTCTATGTTTATTTCACCCATGCTTGGGTCCAAAATATTTAATAGTAGTGTTCTCATTATAAGGCCTAGCAAGTGTTTGGAATTCTGAATGTTTTTGTTCACCTAGAGTTTGGATCCTATATAATTTTAGGAAAATCCACAGCAGAAATATAAGATTTATTACTTTATTGTAGTATTTAACATACATCTAAAATGTTTTGCACAATTTTACAATTCATATGTAGCAATAAGCTTATTTTAACATGTAGAGCAATTACTAAGAAGTTGATATTTAAACTGTTCTCCCAATCTTCCTAGCAGCAACATATTTATCAAGTGTTCATAGTTTAAAATTTCAAGTATTTTCAAGTTTATTTTTGCAGTCTACTACACATCCACTGCCTGATGAAAACAAACCAGCTGCTGAACACACAGAAACACTTCCAATCTCAAAGATGGTTCAGAGGATTAGAATTTCAGAAGAGGAGAATCTACATTCTCTTTATTTCCTTCAGGACCAAGTTGGATAAGAGGAGAGCTCAGATCTATTAGCTAGAAACAGAAAACATACTATTAAGACATTGACTAAATACAATCATTGCATCCTTAGATACCAAGGGACACAACATGTTCCTTGCCATGGTGGCACATGCTTTAGTTACATTGTGACTGGGTTATTACTGACAGGCTTTACGTGCAGCTACCTTTGAACAGTTTTCTAAAACTGCAATTAATCCAGAGCAAAGTGGTAACAGTGCTATAGGTGCTTGGCTCTGGGATCATATTGCAAACATCCTGCCGGTGTTGCACTAGTTACCAATTTGTACCCAGACACAATTCAAAATGTTGATTCAGACCTTTCAAGCCCATAATTATTACCTGAATCCTAAACTCTGATGAAGCAGTCCTTCTCTATGTCCTAACTAGTCACAACATATTGGAAGTAGATGGGGACTTCTAAAAGTTTGCACCCGAATTATGGAATTTGTTGATGTCACAGACTAGGCTGGCACTCATTTGGATGGTATTTAGCAACATGATGAAAACATCTCTAGAGTTCGATTCAGTATTTTATTGTTGCACCTGTCTGCTTTCATCATGCTGTTTCATAGTTGTATACTATTATTGATTTCAGTTATTGTTAGATTACGTCCACGGTGTACAAACACTAGAAGGGAGTGGTATACATTTTTGTGTAGTTTGATAGATTATTAATTAAGTCTGTGGTTTTGTAAATTCCACACACAAAGTTATTAATTTAAATATTTATACTTTAATAGCTAGCTAATGCCTGGCCCTTGTCAGGGGCAGTACCCAGGTTCCTAAATACTTGCACTGTAGCTTGTCTTTCCATGCAGGGTGAAGATATTCCTGATACTTTATTGTACTTTAACATTTGCATTTAGCACTTATAACAAAAGCCATACAGATGATAATATTTAACCCTAAATCCAGCATATCTGAAGGACCAACATCCAAGCCCACATTAACTGAAAATAGTATATTTGTTTGTATACAAGTATACTGTACCTGTCCTGTAGGTTTAACAGGGGCAGCCTTAATAATTTCAGGAGTGTTAAAAAGATCAATGAGAGGTTTGTTTTCACACCTCTGGATGACAATTTTATCTACTCCAATTGGTGTTTTATCCAGTCCAATGTCTATCAGCAGGCTCT